ACGAGTGTCACAGCAAGTTATGACTGTTCGTTTTGTAATATATTGAAAAAGATTTGCAAACGGTGGCGGTTTTAATTGTACAAAAGGCGAGGAAAGCGGCGCGCGACGTCGACATATAGACTGTTACCCAGTGAAATTTTTAAAAACTGCATCAATGTGAACCGAACAGTAACAAGTTACAACATTAATATTAGAATACGAAAATCTGAAGTTTTCTAAGTGTGCTATAGTTATGGAGTCATAGTGCGTTTTCGCTTATTTTTTTTTTGTATCGTTTAAAAATAAATGTCTAGTCTGTTAATAGAAATATATCACTTGCCCGACATGGACGATCGAGATGCACTTGTGCAAAGTTACAATTTCAAGTAACTTGATGATAATTAGTACAATGTAAGTGATGCTTTCAATGTTTTATAAATAACGCCGTTTTTGCTCAGCGTTTGTTGTGAATTTTGCCATAAATATTTGGATCTCAAAGTGAATTGTAGTATTAATGTTTAAATCAGTTTTTAATTGTAAATGCCTCCAATTTGTATATACTTGTGTGTACTATGCGTGCACAATAACGTGAGACCTGAAATTTGAGGCATTCGTCAAAAATTAAGTCTTATGTTATTGTGTGAATAGTATATTTCTGATGAAATTCCCATTTTGCTCAATTTATTGTTTTCATTGCATGTAACTCTTTACTTATATTATTTATTTAAATTCAACCTTTTTTTAATGTTGACTACATTTCTATGGCATTCTTGTTACTCGCATATTTTCCCTTATACCCATCTATTACTACAAAACCTTATATCTTACCCCAGTTCCTTTGGTAGCAAGTGTAATCTATAAACCATTCCAACTAAATTCCTTAATAATTGTAAATATTATATTTCATTGTTGAATTAAATTAAATATTGAATCTCTAGAATAATCTCAATTTTAAACTTTATTGTAAATAATCAAATGAAATATCAAATGTTTATTTTAAGTGTTGTGTCGATGTACTTAAGTTGTCTGCTTAGATAACAACTTAACATTAAGTATGGTGCGGTGCCATAGATGAGTTCCAAGATCTTACCTTTAGCTTAGGTATCGAAAAAGGTTGCATTTTATTAGGTTTTTTTTAAAAGATGTAACTTTTTTCTTCTGATATATAAGGTGTTATAGCCGTTCATCGTTTTTAATTTATTTATAGATATAAATGATTTTCAGGTGTTATTGTAGGTTGTACTTAGATTAAATCGTCATGATCATATATCAGTATTGGTAAAAAATATCAAATTCACGTTTAATAGTTTTTAAATATTATTAGATTAAAAAAATATATGTCTATCTTAGATTTTAAAATATTAAATCGCCAATGACGCTTGTCTTAAAATTATAGAACAAGTAGTATTTATGTAAAATAAAATGTCTAGATTCTTTACTAATCTATGATCCATGACGAAATCGTTTTAAGACTTCACAGACATGTGAATAATTCCTGCAATCTATATAATACTCTATTATATTGTAATATGATCTAAATTTGTATGTAAGTGTTCAAATTAATTCGGTCTCTCTATATAAATGTCCAGTGTCTGTTAGCTTTAAATATTTATTATCTATCTTAAGTCGAAATGAGCCTTTTATTTTTTATATTTTTTTTTATTATTATATAAAGGTGTCTCACCGATTGTTAAAATTAAGTTAATTTGTTTTGTACCAGTGATTATTTGATGTACAAATAAGTAACGTGTACTTAAACTTACATTCCATGATAACAGACTGAGTTTTAATATGAATGGGCGGTACTTTGGGGCGTGAAGATGGACACTAGGGGCGTGGATATGTAAAATAACCAAGCAATTGAAAGGTGATCCGGTCTTTTCGTTATTTTAAAAAGTATTTAACTAGATTAAAATTAATCAAACCGTTGTTAGGTATGGAATTTTAATAGTAAAGAATCGTCCACGTCTCCTTTACCATCTTTAATGTTTAATTGTAGCCCTGAAAAAAAAACAGTATTTGGCATTTGCTTTAATGAAAAAATATAACAATGTTTGTCGTTTTGCGTGTGTGTTTGCGAGTGTGTGGGCATGGTATCCACCATGTCTCGAGTTGTGCATGTATTTTAGTAAATAAGAGAACTATTGCATGGATCTCGTTCATAGATTTTAATGTAAATAAAGCTATTTATTGTGTCTTTCGTGGTGGGCGTGGCGTTCCCCGTGCCCGCCCCCACTAGAGACAACTTACTTGTTAAAATTAAAACATATTCTTTTCTATGAATCTTGTTCTAGATCGAACTTTGAGAATTTATTTATTACAAAGATTTCTCGATTTAGGCCACCAATTAATGTAATGTAAGAAACTTTATAGTGTTCTATAAATTATCTTAATAAATTTCATGTTCATATAATTCTATATAGTATTACAGAAATAGTACTCCATACATTAAATTGTTGTTTTGATGTTATAGTCCGCGCTTAGGTCGCCGCCCCGCCCTCGCCCTGCCCTCGCCCTGCCCTCGCCCCG